GATATTGGCAAAGCATGGGGCATTGAGTCTCACTTGAAACCAGTGGGCATTTTTTTGGGGTGATGTGCCATTAGTTGAGACGAAAGTAAGGGAAATCAGGGAAACATTCGAAGTCGCCCAGGATCCAGCGTCCATTGAGCACCCGTCTGACAGTCAGAGCTCTCACGCAGATTCTCAGGATATGCATGTTTGTTTGCTGCTTTTATTGCCATCCTTCTTGACATTAAGAAGTCAGTTCTGCTTGCTTTGTCCTGCGCAGGAAGCTCCATCACAGTTGCGCCAGAAAATCATGCAATCTCTTCAAGGTAAGGTGGTTGAGATTTTGGACGACCCGTCAGGCCTGCCCTGGATAAAAATATTGTTGTGCAGGCTGCAAATTGAGAACGGTGAATACATGTGTGACCATGATTTCAAACAATGTTAAATGTTTTTCTGTTGTGTGTCATTTCATGTGGTTGGACGGGAGGCGAGCCTCCTTCGAAGGATGAAAAGGTCTCAGATGATCCAGCCGTTTCTTGTCATGCGTCAGTGTCAATTCAAAAACCAAGGGTTCAACAAACTTTGCACATGAAAATTGGCACAAAACAATGTCAAGATTGAACAGGTTTGATCTGGAATAAAAATACCTTGGCAGTTTTCCTTAGGTTGGCCCTCGGCCACATCGCACTGATGCGGTGGCGGAGGCTGCCATCACTCCAGAGCCTCCATTTGTCAAGGACACATGGGTGACAGATGAGAATTTGTTTACAGCTGTTTACAGTCTGGCCAATGGACAATTGTTTGCAAGTATAGGTTTTGAAACAATGCAGGAGATGGCTGGCGCACTCAGCGATGATGAGCTTCCTCCTGCAGACCCTAATGGAATTGGTCTCAGTGTCCCAACTGACTGCCTGCGTGCATGAGTTTTTTGCGATTTTTGGTTTACACGAAGCCATAATGGAACAACATATATAAGGACAGAAGAAGTTGCAACAACAGAAGAAGCCGGCAGCTGAGAAGAAGAAAGCACAGAAAAACCGGGTGGATGCGGGAAAGAGCACAAAGACAAGGCTAAGTATTTGATGAAGAAGCACAAACGCAAAGCCAACTCTGGGGATATCATCGTGGTTTGCGCGATCCATGACAATACGACGGGCAAACAAGTTGCCCAGCTGAGTAGCAATGCGCAGCCGGAGTGCTCCAGCATTGTAGGTCAGATGGTTTTGGATCTAAATGAAAACAAAAAAACCCTTGACAACGTCATTGGGGAGCTCAATACTTTGAAGTCATCGTCATAGATGACCACTTGTCACTTGACATTTGCTATGGGGTCTGCGTGCACATGCGCCGCACGGGGAAAAAAGCAGACTCTGCCAAGAAAACGTTTCCTCCAATTTTCATTTGTCTTGGCATGTATAGCAGTCATGCAGTGCATCGTCATGGCTTCCTGTGATCGAGAGGACGGAAACTTGCCGAAGCTCCGTCAGTTTCATCGAGTTCCAACTGCAGGCGCAGCCCCCCTCCTTCAGTGAGTTTGCATACCCTTTTGCAGTGAAGTGTTCCTCTTGGAGTTTTGTTGGCATGAAGCTGGCATGTTCATTGATCTTTGATATTTAGGGTTTTCATGCTTTCATGGGGCCTCGGCCTCTTGTAATTACATCATATTTATATATATATCATTATTGTCATGCATGGTTCATGTCTGTTGATGATTGCACGAAGCAGCATTAAGTCAAAGTTCAATGGAAACATGTTTGCGTGTATAAACGATGTATGTATTATGACATGCACAGGTCGAACATTTTTCAAATACACATCACAGCTAGATACACGACTCTATTTTCTTCCAAACACATGCTCTTGAAAGAATTCGCAGAAGTTTTCCGCCGACATACTTGCATGAGGATGAAAAACATGCGGTTGTGTGTACATTTTTGTCGCGCCATCGACCGGTGCCATGGCGATGATTAAGCTTGCCCTGCTGTATTCGATGCTGGCCTCACTGTCTGTCCAGGAGCTACGTGATGTGTATGGCTTCACGCGACTGGACTTACCGTGGGTCCTCGTGGAGCTCGTCCTTTGGGCGATGATCTATCGACGTGGACTGAACTTCGGAGTCCCTTTAGATGTGCGATGCATTGAATTTTTTGCAGGCTCAGAACGTTCATCTCAGATAGCAAAAGCGTTTTCGGAGCTTGGATTCAAATCCCTAGCTTTTGATCTCTTACGAAACTTGGCTTTTTACGCTGAAGAGAGACCATGCAGGCCCCATGAAAAATAAAATGGTTTGCAGTATATATATATAATGCAGTTGAAACATGTGTTGTGCTTCAGGAAGTGAGACGCATGATTTGGCAAGCACCCATGGCCTTGTCAGTGCAGTGGTGGCCATACTTGGACTTGTTTGCGGTGGACTCTGCCACCTCGGCACCGTTTGCACCTCCTTCAACTTCGTGAACTCTGGCACCCACACCCGATCAATTTCTTTTCCATTGGGTTGGAGGCAGGATTTGAGCTACGTCGAGCTTGGAAACATTCTGGGCGGAAGATCAGCTGTTTTGGCGTTACTTGCATGGGCAGTCGGTGGAATGCCAGTATTGGAGCAGCCGCTCCGTTCAGTGATGACTGCACTTCCAGCATGGCAGTCTGTGATTGCCTACTTTGACGAGGCCGAGCAGCTGGGGTGGATTGGGCAGAGGCTCAAACTGAACCAAGTCTTCATGGCTTGCTTCAAAGCACCAACCCTAAAGCCCACAGCTTTGTATTCTACGGAGTCCTTTGACCCTTTGATGAATATGAAAGTGCCTCCCAATACCAGGTTACCTATCAGTGCCATGCTTTCAAGTTGGATGTACAAGTGTAGATGTGTGTGTGTGTGCATGTCTTTCTTGGTTGGGATGGGTATCTTTCTTTGTTGGGAAATTTTGGGCACGCCATGTCTTGTTCTCGAGTGAAATGCGTGCTGCAAAGGTATCAAGATGCATCCGGCGCCAAGAGAGTGCAGGGTGGTCCAGGGCTCAAGCAGACACAGCTGTACACGCCTGAATTTGGAAGGGCGTTGGCCAGTTGGTGGATGGCTCATGGGCCTGTCTCTGCCGGGACCGCATGCTGCAACAATTCAGAATACCACATGTTAACAGCCCATAGTTTTACAGAACACCACATGTAGAGCTGCATGCCTGTCAATTGCAGGAGAGAAAGGCGTCGATGGTGCCTTGTCCAGAGCTCCAACGTGTCTGCTGACATAATGAAGGACTGCTCATTTTCAATGAGGTTCCTGTGCGTTTTTGATTTCAAAAGTGGTTCAACCGAACGTCATTCAGTTGAGGCACTTCAATCGACAAAAATAAACATATACATCTAAAAACAATACTCGTATGTAAAAACAATATGGATGACATGCACTTGTTTGTTTGCAAATGAAGTGTGGTTTCAATGTGATGACCTGAATTTCATGTTTGCAGCTTTTCCTGAGGAGCGAATTGCGGCCTACTCTAGACTCCAACACTTCGACTTCTCAGAGGGCCGGTTGCAAGAGGCTTTGGAGGAGCTGAGATGTTCGAATGCAAATTCTTTCCGACACGTGTAGATCTATACACTTGTCTAATGACTTGAAACTTGCAAGTAACAACTTTGGGGGAAAAAGTGTGAATGAAGAATGGGAGACATGGGTGGGTTGCCTGCAGAAAGTTGGTTGCGTGTTCATTGATGTGCGATACGGTTTTCATGCTTCATGTTTTAACGGGGCTTTGGCCTCATGGTACATAGTTTATATATCATTGCCATGCATGGTTCATGCCTGTTATATGTTTCATGGGTTCATGCATGTGCCAAGTGTTCTTGAAATACGTGATCATGGTCTAGTCTTAATGTTTGAAACAACCAATATGTTTTCCAAATGCGGGTCAAACATGATATGTTTGTTTTTTTAAAATTTTAGGGCGTGACCAACCCGTGACCAACCGTGACCTGGGAGAAACGCCCAATACTACTTATAAGGGGACCGACCCGTGACCAACCCGTGACCACCCGTGACCACCCGTGACCAGATGTGACCTTGAATGGGGATCTTCATGTCAGATTTTTTGTTATTTTTTTTTCAGGCTTGCCCTTTGGAGGTTCCACATTTGCTCTTGCCAGTTCGTGGCATTTTGCACTCAAGTGTTCTCAGGGAACCATGGCTGTTAAGGAAGAAATTCCTTTTTCCCAGAGCGAGACCACTGACCCTTACATGGTTGGGTTTGTCCGTGAAGCGATGGAAACAGCAAGTCCAGGTGGCTGTAAGTGAACCACACGATTTACCTGGAAATATGTTGTGATGATATATGCGTGTGCAAGTTTGTTTTTTTTATATAATGATTTTTTAAATGTGGGCTGTAATGCATGCAGGTGCTGCAGGCTTGCCAAGCCAGTCGAATGTTCCTGACGTGCAGATGCATGTGGATGGGTTTGGCCCCAAGTTTTTCCAATACAGGTTTGTATGGCAGTTTGTGTGAAATGACAATGCTGCAAAGAATCAACATACATTTCATAGTCATAGACTGACAATTATTCCATTATGAGGCTGTGCTGCGGCACATGTTCGCATCAAACCTGTTTGGGAAACAAAAGAAACAGAAAACCAAACATAGCACAGTTTTTTGGGAGTTGGTTGTCAGCCTGATGAAAACCTGACTTGAACAGTTGTACATTGTTAGTGCAGTTCAAACTTTTGCCTGTGTTTTGCTTTTGCATGTCTTGTGATGGCACAAACGGTCATTGATTTGTTTTCCGAGGCAGCGGCTTAATCTTTCTATGCCACTGCCGGCGATGCCACTAGGAGAAACTCAGCCAAGCGTGGCCACTCTTGGAGACACACAGGCTGGTTCATGCTTGCAAGGGCAGACATGATATGCATTGAACATGTGCATTGGTTTTCACAAGTTTCGAAATTCTTCGCAAAATCGTGGAGGAATATGAAAAACATATGTTTTCCAATCTCCGGGACCTGCATATGTTTTCAATTTTGATGTTCACTGGCGATGCTGGTCTTTGTTTGGCGTGCACCTTTTTGATTTTTGGGTTGTTTCCAAATTGATTTCTGCAAATTGCAGGTGGACGTGTCTTCTTTGGAGACGCAGCCCATGGAGATGGACGTTGACCAGATGGCCTTGGCGAACTGTGGGGCTGCCATGCCTGCACCGGCCCCTGTGCAGCCTGCAGTGGTTGGTGGCGTCATGCCTTCGGTTGCAGTGCAACACATGCAGGCTGCACCTGTGATGGCAGCACCTGCCCAACCTGTGGCATTCATGCCACCACTTGAACCTCATCGACCTGGAGTACCCATGCAACCTGTGGTGCCGCCAGTGGAGCTTGCCCAGCCTGTAGTTATGCAGCCTAGCCAACCACCAGTGCCAGTGCCTGCCCAGCCTGTAGTGCCCATGGGGCCTGCCTGCAACCAGTGCCGCCAGTGTCAGAGCCTGGTCAGCCTGTAGTGCCCATGCAGCCTAGCTTGCCTGCCCAGCCTGCCCAACCTGTGGCACCGCCAGTGTTACAGCCTGCCCAGCCTATAGTGCACATGCAGCTTAGCCTGCCTTCACAGTCCAACCTGTGGCACCGCCAGTGTTAGAGCCTGCCCAGCCTGTAGTGCCCATGCAGCCTAGCCTGCCTGCCCAGCCTGTCCAACCTGTGGCACCGCCAGTGTCCCAGCCTGCAGTACCGAAGCAGCCTAGCCAACCTGTGGTGCCGCCACAGCCTGTGCTACCCAAGCAGACAGCGCAACCTGCAGTGGTGCTGCCACAGCAGACCTCTCAACCTGTGGTACCCAAGCAGCCAACCCAGCCTGTGGTTTCTCCTGTGATGCCAAAGCAGCCTGCAGTGGCACCCCCTCAGCAGTTCCAGGCAGCACCCGGAGATATGGTTTCTGGACATATAGACGCTGCTTTGGTGCACATGCCCCCCCGGCCGAAGCCGAGAAGCCCAAAAGTGACCTTGAGATCGAGTTGGCAGCAATGGGATGGAACGCAATGAAGTCATGTCGACCTCAAGCTAGTCCTCAGGGCACACTTCCAAGCAATGCTTCAGGGTCAGACAAGCCTGCAGATGCATTGGTACGGAAGAAAAGTCAGGTGTTTCCTGGAGAGGATGAGCCACCTGTGCCTGCAGCTTCTGTTGGAGCCGCAGCCCTTCATGAACCTGTGCCTGCAGCTTCTGTTGGAGCCGTTCAGCCTGTGCAGCCTGCACCTTCTGTTGGAGCCGCAGCTCCTGAAGGCAAGCTTCAGCTAGCCATGGCACCTGCAAAGGTCCAGCAATTTCCCGCACCCCAAGCTGCTGGAAGGGTTCAAACCGCCCAGCCCGACGGAGAGTATACCCGCCGAGCAGCGGCGAATTTGATCCAGAGGCTGAAAAAAAACCCTGGGAGATTGACGACTATGCCATCGCTCCATCAGATGGTTTTTGACGAAGAGAAGAAGAACGAGCTGATCACCATGATTTGCGAGAATGGTGGCAAGTTGGAGCAGGTGCAATGTCATTTGCAGCAGATGGAGGAACGTGGTAGAGTGTTTTCTGCCAGGAAGAAAGCCTTGCGCTGGACGAAGAAGCAGATGCAGGACGCATATGGAGAAGATGCTGACAAGGTGATGAAGCACAAGGAGTCGATGGGCATGGTGGAAGAGGACGAGAATTGCCCCGATGGCATTGTCTATTTAGTGGCGCAAAGGGAGGACGAAGAGGACAACTTCAGTAGATCAGGCCGGGACGGGAATTTTCTTGGATTGTTTGTTCAGGAAAATTCATGACAGTTTTGATTTGCTGCAGTTGCACATCCTGCAGATCATGGTGATACCACATGTTCGTTTGGAACTTGCATTGACTTCAATGATGGCCATGCAGCGCAAGGAACTGCGGTCACCACCAGCAGGGTCCAGGTGAATGCAAGCAATGCTGCGGACGTTGCAGAGATCATGTGATCCAGTTGCAATTTTCTTGGCTTTGTAACAGATGCAGCACATTTGATGTGAGGTAATATCATTTGTATTCATATGATTGAATCTTAGATGTGTTCGTTCTTAGGATGGGCCCACCAAAGTCAAGCGGCAAGAGACCGTCTTCTTCAGATGCGGGCTCAGTGCAATCAAGCCCAACGACTCCAGCGTCCGCTCCGGGCACTCCGCTACCAGACCAGGCTCCCGCAAAAAGAGCTAAGGTGAAGAAGGCGACTGAACAGACCGTTCTCACCCCCTTGCAAAAGGCCAAGGACATGTGCACCAAGCTTTTGAAGAAGAAGAGCGACGCAAGCAACTTGGGGTTGACTTTGCAGTCAGTTGCTTACGCGGACGCTTTGAGCGCAGAGATGACCCAATTTGCCAAAAAGTTTGAGTTTCTTGGCAACAAGTCGTTTTTTCCAAATTTAGTTACACACATGGAGCACCAGTGGCTTGCACACTGCATGGTTTTCAATTTGCATTGCTGGGAAATGTACATGATCTCATTGTGCAACGAATTCCCGAGGGAGCTCTATTTGAAGATCCAAGCCATGATCAATGACCAGAAGAATGAGGAGCACTATATGCATGAACCTTTGGGTGTCCATTTTTCAATTCATGCATCCCTTTTTGTTCGTTGCAAGTTTCATTCATGATGCATGGATGTGCATCAGCTTCAGGAGGATGAATACATCCCGTTGGTGAAGGAGTTCATCGCGCTGCAGAAGCAATTTGAAAAGCCGCATGCGGCTGGAAATGCGATTTCGAGACAACAGAATAAGAAGCCTGCCAAAGCCAAGGCAAAGGCTAAATCAGCCGCCTAGGCCCAAAAGATCCGTTTTGCATGGCGATCTGAATGACTTGGGTTTGAAAGATGTCAAAAAAATAGAGCATGGCTTCACTTTATTTTTTTTTGACAGCTGTGTGCGCCAACCATGGCAAGTTTTGTGGATGCCAGCAGTGATCAAAGGCAGGCTATGGCTTCTTCTTGTGCCTGGGGCACCTCAATGGCTTTCCATTTGTATAGTCCCATTTGCTTGGGCTGGCTCCAAACCTGAGCACTAAAGCTCGGGGTGAGCCTTTGGGGATGCAAATGCGTTCTGTCGATGGACGCTCATGAGTGCGTCGGGCCATGCACGGCCGCGTGATGATGAGAGAAAAAAATAAAGAACGTTTGAGCTTCTGCGGTAGTGAAGTCTACAGTCATGACTGTATGTATTTTCGAAAACCGGAGATGTGCGATTTTCAGGCAGCATACTGTCAAATTCTCACCCCTTCGCAGGTCAAGCGTAGATCTCGAGGAATCCCATGAGTTGCCTCACAAATACAGGAAAAAAATGTTTCTTGTCCAGGATTCATACATTGATGATCATCCATCCGATGTGAATGCAGAAGACGAGAAGACGCATGTCATATGCCGTGCATACCTTAAAGGTGAAAACTCACCCCTGCCCCGTTAGTGCTGCATGTGACGCCGAGCTCAGGAATGTGGATGATGTTGATAGCGCTTTGATCTGCAGAATGGCAGAGCGGGTTTCTGAAGGGAAACTTTCTGTGCGTGCGGCTGCGGAGTGTGCTCAGACTTTCATCCATGATGGGGGTTCAAAGGCGCATGCTTCTGTTCCAGACATTAAGTGCAGATGTATACAAAATCCCTTTGATCAAGCATGTGCGTGCACTATATTACTTATATAAAACACGTATATGTGCATGCGTGCGTGTGCAGGTGGGTGCTAAGCAGATGATGGGCTCGCGAGAGCGCGATTTTTTTCGTTGGATGAGGGTGCCGCTGACCATCTACAAAACACAAGTCCCGGTCAAGACAGATCCCAACAAAAGTTCAAGTTTTGACAACCGTGGTACTGCTGACATAGCAATGGTCCTGCCAAGTGATCATTTACAAGCTCTGCACGATCAAGGGCCAGAAGTGTTTTGCCAGAATCAGTCTTTTTCTCTCCAGTTTACATTTGAGTGAAATTAATTTGTTGAACTGCCTCTTGCGTTGAGGTAATGGCTCAATGCTTGGGGTCGCCAGCAGACTTCGGCAAGATGTGGCGTGCATCTGGTTGTGACGAGCTGGCATCAACACACGTGCCCATCATTATACATGAAGATGGAGTTCCACATTTTTCAGGCATGTGGTTGCAATACTTCAGCATTTTTCAAATGCAAAATGTGTTGGAACAGCCGAATCAATCAGAAGAGTTGCATGGCATCTCAACGCCCCAAAATGCCCCAAATACAAAGCTATATACACGCCCCGAAATTCGTTCCTGAGGTAGCACAGCCACAGTTTGGAGCTGGAGCACTGGCTGTCTGCGGGGTGACTCTTGGAAAGTCAAGCATGCCATCGCAGTCATGGGCACACCGCATGTCACTGAAGATACTAGGTCTGAGATCTGCCGGATTTTAGCTTGGGACTTAAAGCAGTTGGAATCGGGAACCTATGCATTTGTTGACCATTCTGGTCGATTCCATCCTTTGGGTTCTGCACGGGAAAGGCTAGCAGGACAACAACTTTCGGTGAAAGCAGCGACTGGACATTAAACGTAGTTTTTTTGGAAGTTTGTGTTTATTTTGGAACTGGATTCACAAGTGCACTATATGTATAAATGTTTTCATGTTTTTCATGCATGGCACATGAGAATCTATAAATGGGGCGCAAGCCCCAGGTTTCTTTGCATGACATGCACGACAGTCATGTTTGAAATTGTTAGGGCTTAGCATTGACATGCTATATGTTGCCAGGGAATACCATGCACGACAGATCTGTTCAAAGAGTTTTTGGCGTTGAAAACATGGAAGACACCACTTCAAAACTGATCTGAGGCTTTCTGCTTCTGGAAAGGCGACATGGAAGCCCATGCGTATGCCCACCTTCTTACCAGAACGCAGCGCTACTACAGGTGCGCGCAATGCTGTGATTTTTGCCTAGCAACAAGCAACAAAAGATCGCCAGAGCTTAGCTGGGGCAACTTGTCTTTGAAATCTTTGTGGCGGAGCACTCTCACATTAACAGATCCACATGACATTTCGCCATGGACACAGGTTCCGAGATTTGAGAAGAAACGCCGATTGCTTGATCTCCTTCACATAGTGCATCTGGGGACTTTGCGTGATCTCATACCTGCAGCTATTATAAGTTCTCTGGAAGATGGCAGTCTTCCATTTTTTTTCGGTTTGACTGGCAAGCCTTGGGATGAAGTTTTGCATGCGTTCAGCCATCTTGCAGCTGCATGGGCCAAAGATCAAGACATGCAGCTTGGTATCGGCACACTTTCAATGGCAAGGCTTGGCCGGCCGAAGTACCGCCATTGGCCGATGCCTGCCTTGGATACACGAATCAAAGCCGCCAAGACAAGAACACTTTTCGCGTTTACAACTTGGATGATGGTGAGGCTTGCTGATTCAGATGCCCTGGACACCAATGCCAAGAAGATGCATGCTAAGATGCGTGCAGTGTGCTGTTGGTCTTTGGATGTGCCCCTCAGCACATGGAATGTGAATGGCAAAGTTGTCATGTTGAGGGCTACAGTTAGAGAGGTCACGTGGCTTTGCAGGCTGCACTCTGCATCCTATCAATGGCTGTCTGCACGCTGTTTGGCTGAGCAGCGGCTCCTTTACAAATGCAGACCCAAGACGCATTATTTTGTGCATATGGTTGATCATTTTGAAGAGACTCAAATTTGCTTGATGCATGCATCGACATTTGGAGATGAGGATTACATGGGGAAAATCCGCTGCATATGCCAAGGATGCCATGGGGCCACGTACATGCTAACCTGGGCCCGGAGATATGCTTTGAAGCGAGCATTGCAGTGGACGGAGATGAAGCTAAGTCCCTTCGAAAAGTCTTGATTTCGTTCTTAGGCGTTGCTCGTGGCAGCTTTCACCAACCGCAATGATGCGAAAAACCGCGGGTGCAGCACGCAGACAGACGCATGATGGATTTTGGTTTGCTTTTCAAAGGCCAAAGAATTCTAAAGACTTTCACCAAAAATGCGGTTATATTTTCAGACGGGTTTTGTGCCATAATTTGGATTTGGTGACAGATATCTATATCCAAGGGTGGGCAGTGGGCCGGGCTCACATGATATCAGGAGTTGTCGACCATGTTTGCCTCGAGTTTGGTCATTGCATTTTCCCAAATTCGTCAATATGATGATGGCAATCATTTCGTAATTTCCCTCACCAAATGAGATGTTGTTGCTGCAGTCGTAATCGTGTGTTCTTTGTAAATAGACCAAAAGAAGGTATACCTATATATAGGTTAATGGACAGATACATGCAGCAGGTAGAAATGGATACCGTGCCATGAGAGATTGAGATGCATTTTGATGTTGAGACTCGAGATTTTTCCGACCATTTTTTCCGTGAGCAATGCGCGTCTACGGCTGATAAGATGTATTTTCAGGCTTCAGCTGAAAACCCAATGTAAAACCCGCAAAGTTACCAGCAACATTGCAGGCAATGTTTGATGTGAAAACCACATCCTTCAAAAGATTAAGCCAACTAGCTGATCATGATCCGCGATGATACACTTGCCAAGAAACCCTTGCGGGTGTTTCTTTCAGGCCATGAACTAACATGAAACGCCCAGGGGTGTTTCTTTCAGGCTATGCATTGCATAGAAAGGCCCCAGGGTGTTTCTGTCCCACAAGATACGCCCAAGGGTGTTAATTTTGGTTCTGGGTGTAAAAGATACACCCCAACCCCAGATTGGTACCTCCAGGCAAAACGCAACGCAGCAGTGCGAAGGTCGGTGTATGCATCACCTGCTGCATGTAACGTGGTGTACGAACGAACGTCATGTGGCAACGAACGTAAAAGCATGATGGTCAGATCACTTGTTTGCACCTCAAGTCCAACTCTGGACACAGTTGCAGGTAGAGTTTCAATCATCTTGCGAAACCTTGACAGTCCGACGTCAATCTGGCGAATGATGTCACTAACCTGAGTAACACCAGCAGACGCTTTGAACGTCTTTGCCAAAAACTCAGTGCGAAAGAAAGACGCTTCTGCCCTTGAACGCAAAGAAAACTCTCTTGCCAACAAATGCAAACCTTCAAAACCACTCGTACCTCTAGTTGCCAAGAACGCTCCATCAACGCCAACTCCTTCAACATAAGCTTGCAGCATGGTGTTCCCCCTTGGGAAATCCTTAAACGTCTGAATGAGGATTGCAAGAAGACGCGCGCTGCGGGTCTGTTGAGCGGGCTTCAGCACAGACATATGGATCTCTTGTTCCCAACCAATGCACTGGGCAATCTCCCAGGCAAAGATGTCACTTCCTAAGGAAACCCAAGCACGTAGCGCCTGAACCCAGTCCGAAAATCCAAGGACTTCATCTGCACGGGTTTTCCAATTCCTGAAATCCACAGTGGGCATAGGAGGTAACCATTTCTCAGATTTACTAAAGATGTCACGACCATCTCTGTCGTCATCTTGATTCGGATTTCTCTCCCCTCTCTGGGGTGTCACTTGTGCTATACCTGGCGGCGACCCCACAGGTCGGAACGCAGGTCCTGGACTCGTGGGGGGCTGTTCACCAAACCGTGAAGGTCCACTGCTTAAACCTGAAGACAAGGATGCATCAGCCGGTCTCGCACCGTGCAAGGCTGCAGTTCCCTCTGGAACGCGAGTCACCTGAGCTTGCAAACTGTCAAGTCTCGTACTCATCTCCCTTACGACAGGCTCAATTCCCATGCGGAAGATCTGTGCGATCTGGGTCAACTGATCTGGCGTGAACAAAGGACCTTGCGGACCTGGACTTCCTGGCATACTAGGCTGCTCTTGGTGCGTCGGCGACGCAGGTTGCGGACTCCCCGGTCCAACTTCTCCAACAGGGTACGGTCCAGTCGGTCCACCTGCCTGAAAACCCTTACCATATCCTTTCTCTCCGCTTTGGGTACCTTGGCCGTCCATTCGAAAATGCTGTGGTTGTCCTGATTGAGACATTTCTGACACCTCGAAGTCAAACACACGACAGTCAAACGCAACTCACACCAACTTCCCTGGAACCAGGCACACACAAGACGCACACAGGCGTGCCAGATCCTCACAGGATCTCTTGTGGAGGGAGCACACAAGCTCCGCTACCACGTAAAACTTTGACACACAAAGTCAGATCGCGAAAACCGCTTTCAAACCTCTCGTGCATAAAGTAAACCCAAACCAAAACACAAACAAACGGTGGTCGTCTCGCGTTTCTGTCTGTGTCAGCTTTCCCAGGCCGTCTCACGGCGACACACTCACCCTTTTCGAACTCGCGGGTGTTGAGCCAACGTTTACGTTGGGTCATGGCAGTTCCAAAAACGATTCTACTAATCTAGACACGTGCAAAAACAAGCTTCTCTGTTCCTAAAAACCTAAGATTGGTTTCGTGCAGTTTGGTTCTCGTGTGAAATAACCTACAACGTGCAGAAAACCTAAAAACGGCTAACTACAAAACGAAAAATGGCAACTCCGTCACAACTCTTTGTGACGGAATGAGATGAGATCGATTAACTACATCACAATCACCTGCTAACTACAAAACAAAGTCCAAACTACGCAAGCCCACAAACTACAACTACAAAGCAACTAACAACTACCTAAGTTCAAGCACAAGATCGCTACGCTAGCTATACATAGGATGATTTTTCACAACTCTCTCCACGAAGCTTGCTTGCATCAAGAAACATGTGATTTACACAAGGTAAATATATCCAAAGTTGATGCGGTTGATAACCAACCTCGCAACTGGTTAATCAATAGGATGATGAGTTAATATACAAGAGAATCCAGTAAGAACAGACACACACGGCTCACTGCGCTACGCTACTTTTGCGGGTCCAAAGCTGTCGAAGCGCTGCGACATCACAAGTTCTGTGAGAAGTTGGGCTATGGATAACTCCTTCGGAGATTCTAAGTCGCCTCATGCCACCAAAATCAAAAACGTCTTCTTCATTCTGCTGCACTCAAGGCCAATTCTTCCAACTCAGCCTTTCTTTTTGCTTTCTCCGCAAAAACGGGAAAACCATTTGGACAAATCTCTTGCTCACCATGATATGGATGCAAGGGCAAACTTTGGAAAGGCGACCCGATGGCTCAGTTGGTATGGCGTTTTTTTTTTCCTCCGGTTTGGCCGATTCGCACTAGGCACGGTCCTTACAATAGCGTAAGCAGTGAAAAGCAGTAGTGTACAGGACTCGTGTGGTCCAAAATCTCCGGCAAATCATCACGAGAAACAAACCAAACAACAAGAACCACAACCAAAAACGACCCGCAAATCCCCCAGCCAGATTTGCGTTTCGCCACAAAGCAAGACAGCGAAGCAACAAAGAAAGGGGCAGGGCCCAACAAGAACCAAAACAAAAAACTCTCAGATTTGCCTTGGATACAGCGACATTAGCCACTGTATCATCCTCAAAAACATGCAAATTAATTAATTGCGGCGGTGCATGAAGTGTTGTACCTGATTGCCCAGACCGTCTTACCTGAGAACAGCAAAGGGAGTCCAATATTGTAGGCAGACTGATGTGTGGTTCGACAGAGGCCGCCTGTAAGGACTATTTGTCAATAAATCAACTTCCGCATCGCTGCTGTTCACCCTGTATTGTTCAGCGTATGCCAGGCAGTCTGTTCCTGTCAGTATACACCGCCGCAAGGGACTGTAATCTATTTCCCCCCCAAAACGGGGAGGAGAGCACTGATAGCCTGCAACATGGTGTGAGCACTTGCAGAAACCGTCACGTGACTTGTGCCCAAGACCCTAAGGCCGTGGGTGAAAAGGTGGCTAAAGGCCTGACCGGCTCAGTACGGCCATGACAGACAAATGATGTTTCGACTATAACATGGGCTCGTGAGCACTTCCAGTATGATACTACAGGTAGGTATACAAAAGTCGCATTCGCATTGCTGTAAGACTTGTTCACCAAAACGATCAAAGATGAGGTGGTTCGGTGCGCCAGCACCAGATACTCAGACAGGAGTCACTAGGCGTCATCGTCCCAGCAAGTTCTGCGGAGAGGACCTGATGCACAGGAAGGCATCTATATATTCCAGACAAAGCCACTCTCCCATCGAGTGGGCCATAGGCCATAGCAATACAGAAAATCCGCACAACGAACCATGTGGGCAGGCTTTGCTGCACTCGGGCGCTCCAGACTGAACTGCAGGAAGCACAACTGGACAGCGCCAGTAGCGCTCACTGCAGTGCAGCCTAGTCCATGGCTCTACCGGGAATCTACCGCCCCTCAAGAAAACACACAGGAAACAAACAGAGAGAGAAGGGCCCATCCCAATACAGCCAAAGAGGAAGCCACCAGACAAATTAAACACAAACAAACAAACAAGCAAACGAATTCAAAAGGGGATCAACTCAACGAAACAAAAAAGGGGGGGGGACGGTGAGCAAAGGCTGTCCCACCTCGGATAAATCCTTAGTCACTACCGGATGAGATCAATGTAACCATGGTGAAAAAATGGGTGACTGTGCAGAGCTGTAACCTCGGTATCCAGGCAACAGAGGAAGCAAAAGCAACACGCGCCCAAACAACACGAAACCTGCCATCAAGGGGGAAGCAAAGAGGGGGGAGCGGCCAAAGTACAACCCAAGCAAAACTACAGGCCAACAGAGGAAACGAGGAGAGGAGCCAGGAGGCAGCAGAGGACAGAGAGAGAGAGGACACACACGCACAAGAAGGGGTACGAACGTGTCTTAGCGGAGTCCAAGAAGGGGACAAGGATCATACAATGATGAATACCTCAGTGAGGGAGCACACAGCACCCCAACAACACAGGAAACATGGTGTAGAGGGAAAGATCCCCACACAGGGCCAAGGCCTTTGTTGCCATGAGACATCATGAGGAGGGGA